GAGATACGGAATAAAAATTGAGACTTAAGGTTTTAGGTATGTTTATGATTAAGGAACGTGAACGGGTTAATAGCATATTTAGGATACTTCCTAATAAATATTTATCCTCTGAAGTTGAAGTGAAGGGGACATTTCCTTTTCTTTTGGCACCACCAAGAAGGCCCTGGGCTAAACAGGTATACACCCAACACCCTTAAGTGTGATTCATAAAGTAAAATCTTTCGGGACCTCACGGACAGAGGTCTGGCCAGGTGGTCAGCATTTGGAGCATAGTGTAGCTATGGAACAGAACTAATGCTTTACCTGAATCAAATCACTAGATCAGTAAAACCCTTTTAAACTTTCTATCGTCAGCGTAGGCTATTCTGTCCCTGCTCTCCCACGAGTTAAACAAGAAAACATTACAGTGACACACAATGCACGTTAACTTCTTAATGTTATCAAAGAAGTCTGGGAGGAAGTCTTTTAAAACCACGATTTTAGAGACGCCTGGGTGGCTCAGTCGGTTAAGAGTCTGGCTAGAGTCATGATCCCTCCTGGGATTAGTCCCCTATCAGGCTCCTTGGTCCGAGGGGAGCCTGCTTCTTCCTCTGCCTCTCCCCACTGCTCATTCTCTTTCTCTCTCTCAAATAAATAAATAAAATCTTTAAAAAATAATAATATAACTATTATTTTAATCATTAGGGTTTGGCAAACACACTGTGAATATACCCTAAAATTTAAGGCCCAAAAGTCCCTCTCCACCAAAACATAAATTCTTACTCCAAAGTACTACCACGTAGAAAGAACAGGTTACAGAAAAGCATATGCAGTATAATACCACTTTTGTATAAAATGTATAACTGCAAAAAAGAAGTCTGGAAGGATATAAATCACTGCGAACATTTTGATCATCTCTGGATGGCAGGATTATCAATGACTTATTTTCTTCTTTTTTCCTTATTCACTGTAATAATTCTCCAATTATAAACTATTTCATGTAAGCCAGAATATTCAGTTCACAGTACATAAAAGGTTAAAAAAAAAAAAAAGCACCCCACTTCAAGGAAATCTAATTTCATTTATCTAAATCAGCAGGATTCCAACTGTGGTATTAAGAAAAAAGATCTGAACTGCACACACAGCACACAGGAGAAAGAAATTTGTTAAGAGGCCCAGGATCTACCACACAAGGATACACCCTTCAAGGAAGTGGTCTAAATGCCTAAGTACTCTTCCTGAATTTCATAAGGTGCAATCAATTAGCACATACTTCTGCTATTCTTTCTTGCCATTTACCAAAGAAACACCTCAACCAGTTCTCTGGGGACAAAAATAAAGGGGGGGGGTTTCCAAGTTAGGGCGAAAAGGAGGTTTGGCCCTCTGGTCTCCTTTGTGCTGTCCAGGGGTGCGGAGGGCGGCAGGGCTTGAAGCAAGCTACACCAGAGGAATCTGCGTGGCACATCACCTGAAGTGGAAGGGAACACAAGCTTTCTACAATCTCCACTGAACTGGGCCGTGAAACCGCTTCCTAAATCTCAAGGCTAAAACACCTGAAAGGGCTTACACCATCCAAGTTATTGTGTATGTAGAGCTGCCAACGGTTTCTGACAATAACACAAAAATTGGAAGGGCTCTTCAACAAACGCAGGTATTACGGGCGTGAGGCTCACTCGACTCGCGATGCAAAAACCAAGACACCTTCTCTTATTAAGGCCAGATCTTCGATTCTGCAAACTAGGACAACTCAAAACACCCTACTGACTTTCTACAGCTAACAAACATCTTCTTGGCTAAAATCCAAACACACGTAGAAGCAGCCACTTTGGAAAACTTTGGCTTTAAACGGCAACAGTGGACTTCAAGTGCTCCGGTAACCAGTTTATCGCACATTATGTCTTATAAAGGGTGCTACCTCTTTACTGTCAGCTCTGGTTCCACTTACTGAACAAACAGAAATAAGGAATACTTTCAATTCGCACAATAAGGACTAAAAAAGCTCCCGCTTTCTGGAAGGCAGCTTTCCTGTCTCATCAATCACAACAAAGGACGCATCCTAATGAATTCATCAAACCTAGAGAAAGAGAGGTAAATGATACAGTGTGGATTTCAGGGTTTGTGGGTTCTTCCTTCCAGCTACGACTCCCTTCTTTTTACTCCATTATACGCCTCCACCCGAGCTGACTGTCTTGCCCTGAAAATAAAACCACCCGTGGCTACCGTCCACTTTCCTGCTAAGCCCCGACTCTGGTTTCCTGCAGAGAAAGCCAAATTGCAGGCTCTCTGCCTCGCTCTTGGCCGGGGGTGGGGGGGCGCGGGCTCGGCAGCAGCGGGCTTCTCCGGTGCAGAGTCACCAGACCGGCCGGAGAACCACGGAGCCCGAGAAGCCAGCCCCGCTCTGCCGCAGCCGCCGCAGTCCCCCAGAGCCTGAGGAGCCCCCAAGAAAATCAGGGTGAGGGGAGGGTGGGCCGGCAAACGGCGGTGGTAGAAGGGGAGACACTCACCCGCCCAGACAACAACCGACGGGGCGGGGAGGATGGGGGCCGGGACCAAGGCTCGGCAGAAAGACCGCCTGAAGCTTCCGGAACGCTGCGGCTGCTCGGGACGCCGCGGCCGCTGCTGCTCCTGGCCGCTGGCTTCCTCCCCTCCTCTGTTTTGATTCGATTGACCACGTCACTCTAAGCCACGAGACCCGGATCTGCCGGCTCCCGCGGGCGGCGGCGCAACAGATTGCAGCGACTCGAGACCCCAGCGGCCCGCCTGCGGAGCATGCGCGCGCCGTGCGCCTGCCCAGTGCGTCGGGGTAGGCGGGGCGGGCGCGCTAGCTACGGGCGCGAGCCACACGCTATTCGTGGGGGCGCAGAGAGCGGGGGGTGCAGTTCCGGTTGGGAGGGGTGGGGCCGAGCTCAGTGAAGTGAAGAGGGCGAGGCCCCGCGTCTGCTGAACTGGCCGGCGTAACCTCTGTTTCGTCTTTGGGGAACAATGTCCTTTGCTGTGCGTCTCCCTTTGCCTGGTTTGCTGGCTCTCTCTGACCCGAGCCCTTAGAATAGCGAGGGGAGAAGCAGAGGTGGGCGCAAGTTCGTGTCTGCTAAGAAAGGGTACCTCTGTAGAGTTGTGGGGTTTTTGTTTTGCGTGTGTATGGTGTAGTGTTTGGTTTGGTTTAGTTATGTGGGGGGAAGGGGCTGGGGTTTTTTGGGGTTTTTTTTGGCTCACTTAGGCCCGGGTGAAATTTGGAGATGAGAATTTAGTTCGATGCACAAATATATGTCAAATGTAGCAGTTATTGAATCCCCTACCCGACCTAACGTTTTTGCACCCGAAAAGCTATCCAAAATCAAGCTCAAGAGAAATATTAAAGGGAATATGTCACTAATCATGGCTTGCTGCTGGTCGGGAGATGGGGAATGGGCATGGGGGAAGCTCTGTTGGACAGCAGCCCTTAGCCTTTGTTGCCAGAATAAGGATACTATTTGGGGGGTAAAAACCTCACTTCTTTGGGAACTAGTTTGGTCCTTCCTCCATCCCCATTCTGGCCTTCCTAGTCTCCCAGCTAAACCTTTGGTGCCCTGGAAATTTCCCAGAATGGCAAAACCTAGGGCTACTCTGTTTTAGGTCCACAAATGAACAAACTTTAATTAGAACAGGACCAGTGGCAAAATAAAAGCAAAAGTTCCAAACAGGTTGGTTTCACAGAGGCATATCCTCCACCTGTCTTGGAGAAGAGGTGAAAGTTAGCTGTAAAAAACTGACTTCCTTACTGTGACTTGATCTTTTCACCTCTCTGAATTTCTACCCAGCCACTCTGTAAATCCTCTCCCCTGAGTCACCTTCAGCAAGTTAGTAGTATAGTCTGCAAGATCTTTTTAATGCACGTGGATATTGCACACAGATAAAGATTTCTAGAAAATTAAAAGTTTTTAGTAAAACTCAAAGTGTTTCTTCATTAATTTACAGATTACCAGTAAGTAGAAGTCAAACTTCTTGGCCTTAATCTGCCATCTTGAACTGTTTCCTCAAAGTTAGAGAGCTTGAGGTGGGATCTCATGCTCTAATGAAGTTCATGTGCTGGTACTACATAGCAGAGGGCTTTTAATGTGTGGAACTTTAACTGTGAAACAGAAAGTCTTAAATGCTTAGGTGTACTCATGTGCGCAGATGTGTTTGAGAACACTGTTTAAAACAACAGAATGGCACAAAACTAGAATTAAACAGGTTGTTGCAAAATTATCAATACCTGCTTTATAAACTATATTACAGGAAAGTTAGGATGTTAGGATTCTTGGTAGGCAGCTTCCAAAGTAAACTCCAGTGATTCTCACCTCTGGAAATGTAGTCCCCCTCCAGCCCTTTGAATCAGTACCGGTCCCATCCATAGAATACAGCTGAAGGTGTGTGACTTCTGAGGCTAGGTCATAAAGGCACTGATTGCAGCTTTCCACTTCATTCTTTTGGATTGCTTGCATTGGGGGAAGCTAATGTACACACAGCTCCACTCAAACAGCTCTGTAAAGGGACCACGTGGAGAGGAACAAGAGCCTCTACCAACAGCCTCACCAACTTGCCAGCCATGTGAGGGAACTTCTGATCTTGTAACTGGGCTGATCTTGTAACCTTAGCCAAGCATTGGATGACTGCATCTCTGCCCAGCATCCTCTTGCAATCCGTGAGAGAGAGAAAGGGCCAGCTTTATTCCCAGACAGTGATACAGGATCTTACATGGTTTATGCCCAATCGTAAAGTTCAACCTTTCTAAACTTTAAACAATAGAAAGACAAAATGTGTGTGATTCTATACATAAAGTAATTTGAAGAATAACATAGAATTCCTACCACAGTACCCAGAACATAGTAGATACTGAATAAATACTTCTTAAATTATTTTTTATTTATTTGGAGGGGGCAACAAAGGAAGATTTGAGGGATAGTAAGTCAAAGTTTATTGACAGTACAAAGCCCCCAAAGAGGTAGAGGACCCAAAAGAGTTACCCAATAAATACTTTTCTTAAAGATTTATCCATTTTAATCCAAGCTGATTTCCTCTCCAGGGGGCCTGCTCGTGCCCCTCTTCAGGAAAGCAGCAACTTGGAAGAAAATCTGAAGTTGGTGGGGGAGAGTGCATGTTTGTTTCCTTCGACTTCCTTTGGCTGCCTACACTCAACTCCAGTCCCTTCTGACTCAATTGTGTCCCCTCCTCGCGCTCATGCTGTCGTGTCCTCTCTCCTGACCTAGGCCAGAGGCATTGTTGTGAAGCAGGTTTTTTTAGTCATCAACTATGACCTTCCCACGAGCAGGGAAAACAGTATCCACAGAATTGGTCAGTGGACGATTTGGCCGTAAGGGTGTGGCTATTAACATGGTGACAGAAGACAAGAGAACTCTTTGAGACATCAAGACCTTCTACAACACCTCCATTGAGGAGATGCCCCTCAATGTCACTGACCTCCTCTGAGGAGCTGTCCTGCTACCTAGCCCCACCCAGGGTTCAGTCTGGGGGACTAAAGAGGAGCAAGAGGGGGAAGGGACGGGAACCAAGGGATGGATATTTTTTCATTTTTTTCTTTGAATAAATGTCACTTTTTGAGGCAAAAGAAGGAACCGTGAAAAAAAAACAAAAGATTTATCCATTTTAGAGAGACCATGTGTATAAATGCATGAGTCAGGGGAGGGGCAGAGGGTTAATCCTCTTAATGAGGATTCCCTGCTGAACCCATTGCTCAAGGCAGGGCTCAATCTCAGGACCCATGAGATCATGACCTGAGCAGAAACCAGGAGTCAGATACTCAACTGACTGAGCCACCCAGATGCCCATGGACACACAAAATTAAAAGACACAACATTTGGAAAATATTGGGAATAAATACTGATAAAGGAGTAATACCATAGTATATGAAGAACTCATAATATCCATACGGAAGAAATCAATTCCGCTAATACTTGTATAGGTATAGAGTATGAACACAAAAAGAGTTGACACACAAAAAAATACAAATAACTAATATTTGAAAATCTTCGATCTCGTCAAAATGTAAATTAAGGTGTGCTTGGGTGGCTCAGTCAGTTAAACATCCAACTCTTGATCTCAGCTCCGGGTCTTGATTCCAGGGTCATGAGTTCAAGCCCCACATTGGGCTCCATGCTGCATGTGAACCCTACTCTAAATAAATAAATACATAAATAAATGCAAATTAAAGTAAATTTCCTTTGTAAACTACTACTTCATAGAGATTTTTAAGATTTTTTATTTTTAAGCAATCTCTACACCCAACATGGGGCTCAAAATTCACAACCCTGGGGCGCCTGGGTGTCTCAGTGGGTTAGGTCTCTGCCTTCGGCTTGGGTCAGGACTCAGAGTTCTGGGATCAAGCCCGGCATCGGGCTCTCTGATCAGCAGGGAGCCTGCTTCCCCTCCTCTCTCTGCCTGCTGCTCTGCCTACTTGTGATCTCTCTCTCTCTGTCAAACAAATAAAATCTTTAAAAAAAAAATTCACAACCCTGAGATCAAGCGTCTCATGCTCCACTGACCAAGCCAGCCAGGCAGCCCTGGAGATATTTTTAAATAGGAGTATCTAATATTGGTATTGTTAGCTCTACTGGTAGAAATTTTAAGTTGGCAGTTAGCTTTTTGAAGATCAATTTGGCTGTATATAAGAAGTTCTATAAAAATCACATCCATTAGCTCGATTTCACTGCTAGGAACTTAAGTAATTTAAAAGTTAATAACATTATAAAGATATTAATTGCACTTATATGATGGAATAAAAATATGGAAATAACCTATGTGATCACTGGTGATGGAATAGATAACGTTGTTGCATTGTGTGTTAGGATCTAAGAAACTTGAGTATAGAAGTAATTTATTTTTATTTTTATTTTATTTATTTGATAGACAGAGATCACAAGTAGGCAGAGAGAGAGGAGGAAGAAGGCTCCCCGCTGAGCGGAGAGCCTGATGCAGGGCTTGATCCCAGGACCCTGAGACCATGACCTGAGCCAAAGGCAGAGGCTTAACCCACTGAGCCACCCAGGCGCCCCTAGAAGTAATTTAAAATAGATTTTTTAAAAGTTAACCACATTTTATATAATGGAGAAAAAAATCAAGAAATCATCTAAACATATAATGGTAATGGAATGGATGAATATGTTAAATTATGTGCTAGGAATTAACAAACTTGAAAGTTTCTTCCCTTTCTGAACCAGACCCTACTTTGATTTTTGATCTAGAAGAATAAAGTGTTTGTAAATAATATATGCCTTATATATTCAGAAAAGCATTCTGGAAGATATTCCTAAAACTACTGAAATTGGTTACTGGGGGCAGGGCGTGCGGGTGAAGAGGAGTAGGTGATGAGAGACTTCCTTATGACTTTTTACACCTTTGTATGGTTTAAATTTTTACATATCCTTGCATTCGTTTTGTGATGAAAAAATTATTAATATTTTTAAAAAGATTTTATTTATTTATTTGACAGAGAGATCACAAGTAGGCAGAGAGAGAGGGGGAAGCCGAGCAGAGAGTCCAATGCGGAACTTGATCCCAGGACCCTGAGATCATGACCTGAGCCGAAGGCATAGTCTTAACCCACTGAGCCACTCAGGCACCCCAGTTATTAATATTTTTTTACCTTTTTTTGTGGTTGTATCAGGCTGCCTGTTTCTACACAGGCTGCCATAACAGAATACCACAGACTGGATGGCTCAAACAACAGAAATTTATTTTCTCAAAGTTCTGGTGGTAGGAAATCCAAGATTAAGCTGTCCACAGGGTTGGTTTCTGGTGAGATCTCTCCTTCTGGCTTATAAATGACCACCATCTGGCTGTGTCCTCACATGGCCTTTCTTCTGTGCCAGGCCCTCCTAACGTCTCTTCTTATAAGGACGCTAATGCTGTTGAATTAGGGCTTACCCTTATGACCTCATTTAACTTTAATTACTTCCTTATAGGCCCTCTCTCCAAATATAGTCACATTGGGTGTTAGGGCTTCAATATATCAATCTGAAGAGATATAATTTAATCCAAAAGAGTGGTTTTATGTGTGTATGTGTGTGTGTGTGTGAATGCACATATACATATGTATATATACACACAAATATACATATATATATATATATATATATATATATATATATATATATATATAATGAAATTTACCGTTCTAACCATCTTTGAGAATACACTTCTATGGTATTAAATACATTCATGTTGTGCAAAAATCACCAACATCTATTTCCAGAACTTTTTCATCTTTCCCAATTAAGACTCTATGCCTGTTAAACACTAATTTCCCATTCCCCCTTCTTCCAGTCCCTGGCAAGCACCATTCCATTTTCTGTCTCTGTAAATTTGACTACACTTGGAACTTCATAAAAATAAATCACAGAGGGTGCTTGGCTGGCTCAGTCCAGAAGAACATGTGACTTTTGATCTTAGGGTCATGCATTCGATCCCTATGTTGGGTGTAGAGATTACTTTAAAAAGGCTTAAAAAAATGAATGAATCATACAATATTTGTCTTTTGTGACTGATTTATTTCACTTAGCATAATTTCTTTTTTAAAGATTTATCTATGGGGGGGGGTGGAGGAAGAAAGAGTCTTAAGCAGACTCCACAGGACATGGGGTCAGTTTCACAACCCTGAGATCATGACCTGAGCCAATACCAAAAGTCTGATGCTTAAACTGATTGGACCACCCAGGCACCCCTCATTGAGCATAATTTAAAGTTATCCATGTAGCTTATAGCAGAATTTCTTTCCTTTTTAAGGCTGAATAATGTTCCACTGCATGTGGTTGCCATGTTTTGTTTATTTGTTCATCCACTGATAAAAACTTGGGTTGCTTCCACCTTTTGGCTTATTGTAAAACTTCCGTGAATATGGGAGTACAAATATCTATTCAAGTCACTGCTTTTTAATTCTTTTAGACATACATCCTGAAGTGAAATTGCTGGATCATATGTTTGAGGAACCATCATACTGTTATCCACAATAGCTGTACCATTTTACATTCCCACCAGCAGCGCATGAGGCTTCCAATTTCTTCACATCCTCACCAACACTTGTTACTTCCTTTGTTTTCCATATTATTCATCCTAACGGGTGTGATTATAGCTTTGATTTGCATTGTCCTGATAATTAGGGATGCTGAAAATCTTTACATGTATTTACTGGCAATTTGTGTCATATATCTTCTTTAGAGAACTGTCTGTTCAAGTACTTTGCCCACTTTTTAATTGGGTGGCTTGTTTTTCTGTTGTTGAGTTATAGTTCTCTATATTCTGGATATTAACCCCTTATCAGATATATAATTGGCAAATATTTTCTTTTATTGCATGGGTTGCCTTTTCACTCTGTTGACAGTGTCCTTTGCACAAAGTTTTAAATTTTGATGAAGTCCAATTTATTTTTTTTTCTTTTATTGTCTATGCTTTTGGTGTCATATCCAGGAAGTCATCACCAAATCCAATGAAGCTTTTCCTCGGTTTTCTTCTCTCTCTATCTTTTTTTAATATAAGATTTTATTTATTTGACAGAGAGAGAGCATGCACATACAAAGGGAGAGGGAGTCTAATGCTGCTTGATCCCAAGACTCTGAGACCACAACTGGAGCCAAAGGCAGACACTTAATAAACTGAGCCACCCAGGGCCTTCCTCCCCCCTGTCTGTTTTCTTCTGAGAGTTTTATAGTTTTAGCTATTAAGTTTAAATCTTTGATCAATTTTCAGCTGACTTTTTTATATAGTGGAAGGTAATGGTCTAACTTCATTCCTTTGCATTGGATATTCATTTTTCTGAGCACCATTTGTTGAAAAGACTGTTATTTCCCTATTGAATAATCTTGATACTCTTGTCAAAAATCACTGGACCTGGGGTGCCTGGGTGGCTCAGTGGGTTAAAGCCTCTGCCTTCGGCTCGGGTCATGATCTCAGGGTCCTGGGATCGAGCCCCACATTGGGCGTTCTGCTCAGCAGGGAACCTGCTTCCCCCTTCCCTCTCTGCCTGCCTCTCTGCCTGCTTGTAAAATTTTACTTTAAAATTTTACTTTAATTTACTTTAAAAATAAGTAAACTTAAAAAAAAATCATTGAACCACATATGTGAGTGTTTACTTCTGGGTTCTCTATTCTATCGTATTTGTGTGTGCGCGTGTCCATTTTTATG